CACTTTTCTTCCAGGAGGAGGTGCCTCAGCGGGAGCAGGGTGCCAAGTACTCTGCAGAGACTGGGAGGCTCATCCCTGCTTCCTCCCGAGCCCTTAGCAGCCGCCACTCCCACCAGGGCCAAGGGAACCACTCTTCAAGCAGAGATGGCATCCAGGCCTACGTCCTGCAGGATCAGGAGCTGCTGGTGAGGCCCTGGGAAGGCGAGGGGCTGGGCAGGCCGTGGTCTGGGCAGGCCGGGGGCTGGGGCCCCAGTGCAGCCCTATCTGAGGGCAGAGAACAGGGTGGGATACCCCCAGGCTCACAGATCCCGGCTAGGACTCTCACAAGCTGCTGGAAAGTGGGGCCTCTCCCGGGGATACTTGCACCTGAGACCGTAAGACTCAGAAACCACAGCCCTGGGAGTCAGGGGCCTGGATTCTAATCCCTCAGGCTTCCAGGTTTCTGTGTAGCCCTTTCCTCTTTGTTAAGTCCTTTCCCCTCAAGGGGCCTTGGTTCCATGATCCAGTCAAACTGGGAGCATAAACATGTCACCACTAAAGTCTGTTCCAGCTTTGGCACTTGGCGAGTTCCTGAAGGGAGCTGCAGTGGTAGGATGAGATGCATGGAGCGGAAGGTCCCACCTAGTGTGTCCTCAGACCGCACCCCGGGGTGGGTACCCTGCAGCCTGCAAGGCCGGTGCCAGCCTAGTCTCCCCTGAGAGGATCGCTCTGTGCTGGGACAAGGCACGAAGCCCCCACCTCCACATTCGAGTTTCCCATCAAGGTCTGAGACGAGGTCACGATGGTTCCAGGGGGTTAAGGCATTGAAAGTCCCTGTTAAGCCCTAGCCGGTTTGGCTCAGTGGATAGAGAATCGGCCTGTGGACCGAAGGGTCCCGGGTTCAATTCCAGTCAAGGGCATGTACCTCGGTTGCAGGCTCCTCCTCAACCCAGGCCCTGATAGGGGCTCATGCAGGAGGCAACCAATCGATGTGTTTCTCATTGATGTTTCTGTCTTTCCCTCTCTCTTCCACTCTCTCTAAAAATCAATGGAAAAATATCCTCGGGTGAGGATTAAAAAAAGAAAGTCCCTGTTAAAATGCACGCACGTTCTCCAGGAAAGGCCAGACAATGAGCCAGCTTCTTGACACCATCCCTGTGACCAGTGCTTTCAAAACAGTCCAGTGAGGTGAACAGAGCAGACAGGGCCCGGGATCCCCCATTCCACAGATGGGGAGGCTGAGGCCCTGCCAGGTGCCATTCTGTGGCCCAGGTCCCCAGAGAGCAAGCAGCGTAGCTGGGACTAGAACACAGTACTTTCTCCACCATAGGGCGGCCTCACCTTGCCTGGAAGTAGGTTCTCGGGTTCCTTGGGGAGGGTGCAAAGGGCAGGTAAGTTGGAAGTGGTGAATTGAGAAGGATCCTGGGGCAGAGTGGGGCTGGGGTCACCGTATGGGGTGGGGACCTGGGGGCCAGGGTGGACACCCTAGCAGGCACAGGCCTGGGGAGAGGGGAGCCCACGTTCCCCTCTGACCGCCACTGGTTCAGGTGGGCTCTCCTGAAAGAGGGAACCCCACTTTCCTAGGACGCCAGGTGCTCCACCCCCCATCGCAGCCTCAACCTCCAGCCAGCCGTAGCCACCGTGGCCACCAGCACCCCAGCCTAGAGAGCCCCCGTAGAGCATTCGAGACAGAGCTGGATCTTTTCCACACGATCCTGGCCTGGAGAGCACAGAGGAAGAAGGGCCCTGACGCAGCAAAGGTGGCCGCGGCTGAGGACAGGGCTGCGAGCAAAGCGGGGAAGGAGCTCCGAACCGTGCAGTTTGCAGAACCCGCTGGCCCCAGCCCTCGGGCCGCCCACTGGGAGCAACCCACGTCTTTGCTAGCGTCTCCAGACTCTGAATTTGGGAACTTCAGGGTGGGGAGGCTCGTGGGGACCCTGAAATCCCCCCACCAAGGACTCGGGCATTTGGGACTCGGTGCGTCTCCGAGGAGCTGAGTGTCCAGCTCTGACTTGGCCTTCCCAGGGAGGGACTCTGGGATACAACCCGCCCACGCAGGGCTCGGACCTGAGGGCCCCCAGATCTGACTCTGAGGGTTAGTGCTGCCTCAGTCTCCCTGCTGGGCGCCCCCTCTCTCGTAGCTCAGCCTCCTTACCTGCCCAGTGAGGAGGCGGAGAGCCTTCCTCCAGGGCCCTTGGGAGAGCAAGCCCTCTGTAGCCAGCGTATCCCACGCAGAGGCAGGGGCCAGGACCATGGCGAGGACCAGTTCAGCCAAGCACGTGGCCCTGGGAGCCCACGTCAGGGCAGGCACCTGTGCTGCTGGCTGGAAGGTGCCGTCCACACACTGACCCAGGCCTGTCCTCCTGCCCACAGATCTTGGAGCTCCTTTGTCAGATCCTGCAAACAGATTCGTTGAGTGCTATCCAGTTCTGGCTCCTCTACTCTCCTCCCAAGGGTGAGGCACAGCCCCAGGCCCGGGGCCTCCTCTGAGTGGAGGCTGCTGAGGGCCTGGCCCTCTGCTTCTGCAGGACTCAGAGGTCACTCGGCTCCCACCCTGCCTTCCGCCGGAGCCTTTCTCCTTTCTGGAGCCCCGAGCTAATTTCCCAGCTGGGCTTCGCTGCTCCCTCCGCCCACTCCTCAGCAGGGTTTCCATGACCCTGCTCCTCAGAAGGGACCCCTCCCCCACGCTGACTGCACCCAGGAAGGAGAGTCCAAAGCCCAGACTGAGCAGACCACAGCCCCCTTCACCCACCTCTGTGGGAAATGCACACACAGATGCAGATACACACACATAAGAACACACATGGACATAAGAATGGACATGTATGTATGCACTGGGACAGGGAGGAGAGGGTATGTCTAAAAGGGAGGGTGAGGAGTGATGACAGCCAGAGATTGGAGAAGGCTTCCTGGTGGGGAGAGTAAGGGGAGGAGAGGGGGCAGGTCCCCTATAGGGTTCCCAGAGTGGGCCAACGGGTGTTGTGGGCAGGCGGGCCAAGGCCACGGTACACACGAGGTTGGAGGGGCTGGGCATGCAGCACACACGGGGTCCAGGGAGAAGCAGGACCTGCCCAGGGGGCCCTGTGGGCAGACTATGAGATGGTTGAGAAGCTGCCTTGGGCCAGGGGTGGGCAGAAGAGCCGGAGGCCCTGCTCCCTGCAGGTCCCATCTGGCGACAGGATGGGGGCTGGGGTCATGCCCCTGAGGACTCGCTCCCTGTGCTTACAGAAAAAGAGCTGGCACTGGGGCTCCTGCAGACAGCAGTGGCTCAGCTCCTTCCCCAGGGTCTAGTCTCCATCCCAACCGAAACACTTCTAAACCAGCTCCAGGAGGTCCAAGATTCATCTCAGGAGAGGCAACAGCCAAACTACAGGTGGGCTTCACCCCTCACCTGCCCCTCTGTGCCCAGAACTGCTCCCTCATGGTCAGCACCTGTCCTTCCCGGTGAGGCTGGTAGGGTGCAGGGAAGGGAGCCTGGCACTGGCCGGAGCCGGCTGACAGCCTGTCCTGGAGGAAGAGGTCAGCACCCGCCACGGGACCCTCCAGGCTCTCTGTGCTGCTCAGAGGCCCACCCTGCCAGACCAGACTCAGCCACCAGCCATGGGGTGCCTGAGGGGGTGACCTATGTCAGCTGCAGCCAGACAGGGCTGGAGGAGCCGCGGCTAGCCCCCCAGGAGCTCTTTGGGAAGACACGGTTGAGAAGGGATGCTAACACAGGCAGGCGGCAGTGCCTTTATGTCGGTATTAAGCACCTGGGTGGCTGGAGAGAAAGAAATTAATTCCAAGGTGAGGAAAGGGAGGGTAAAGAAAGGCCTCACAAGCAGGTGAGTAGGGCCTGACAAGTCAGCACTGGAACCTGCAGTATTGAGCACCCATTCTGTCTCCCTGACGTTGCTGGTGCTCTGCACAACCACCCATGGAGGCCCTATGACCTCCAGAGGAAACCGAGGCTCAGAAAGAATTGAATGACCCATAGACACCTGGCTGGTCGGCAGAAGAGCTGGGACCAGGCTTGGGCTCGCCAGCCTGATATGCCCAGCAGTGCTCAGATTCACAGGGGAGCTTGTTACAAGTGAAAATTCCTAGAGAGTCTGACACACAGGTGTGTGTGGGGGGGAGGGGCACACAGGGGCTGTGTGTGTAACATCACCCAAGCACTCCTGATAGAACTTGGAGAGCACTGCTGGGTGAAGAGGATTTGAACAGGCCAAGGAGAGGGTAGGAAGTGTCAGGAATGGAAGTGATGTGCACGCTTTCGGGGATGCTGAGTTCTGGGGTGGTTGGAGCGTGGCGGGCTTGTGCTCGCTGAGGTTTGTTACAGGTGTGGGTGCTCGCTTTGGCCCTGCACGTGGTTTCTTTGCCGCTCGGGGGGCGGGGGAAGCCCAGGGGAAAGGCAGGCTCCACTGTGACCTTGGTCAAGACACCTCCCATCGCTGAACCGGTTTTACCTCTCAAAAGCCCCTCTCCCGGAGCGTAGGGAGGGAAAGTACATCAGGTGCATAAAAGGGCTTGCTGAAGTGTAAAGTCGATACAAGATAATACGAGAGCATTATTCATGCTTGTACATACTTCATTAGGGAAGCAGGCTCTCGTCTCCTCCATTCCCAGGGGAAGGCTTCCTGTCTGCGAGGCCAGAAAGGGCCTGGGGGGTGGTGTGGGGGGCTGTAGTGGCCTCCCTCACAGCTCCCGGGACAGGAGGGCCTTGGCTCCCTGTGGCACAACAGGCGATGGAGTCACAGTTGTCAGGGTCTGGCTTGGGTAGTGTTGCTGGTTCTCAGGGAGGATTGGCTGCTGCCTCTTCCGGGAGCACCCTCCTCACCTCCTCGCCCACCTGCTGCTCTGCTATGGTGCGGTCCATCCTGGCCTTCCCGGACCTCCTTTCCTTTGTGTTGGTTATAGCCAATCCCCAAAGACGTCAAAGACACCGCCTCTTCCCAAAAGCGAACAACCAGGTAAGATTCCGTGCGGCAGATCCCTGCAGGCTCACAGAGGCCCACGCTCGCTGGATTCCTTGGGGGATGTAAGGCTCCTGGGAGATAGGTCTCTGCCCAAGGAATCTGCTCATTTCATCCATCCACTCATTCAACAGAAACTCATTTAGTGCCTATGTGCCAGGCTCTCGGGATCATTGGGAATCTTGGGGGCAGGGGGGTTGGGGGAGATGAGGGAGGAGGCTGTGACAGTCACTCTGGTGCCTGAGACCAAGGCGGGGGAGGAGAGCGGGGGTGGGAGGGGAGAAAAGGCAGGTATCTCCATGTACTATATTCTCCCCCACTAGCCTGCAAAGGGTCCTGAGTGGCTGGCGGGGGGTCTACATAGAGTAGGCACTTCATTGATATTTGTTACCTGGATGTAGTGAGGCTCTGAGCTCCTCGTCACCACAGAGCCCAGAGCAGAAGCTGGGTTGACTGGGCCTCCTGCATCTCCCTCTGCTCTCGCACATCTGCCCGGGGCCTGGTGCGGGGAGGGGCCCACCCAAGTCTCCTGGGCAGCTCCCAGGAAGGGCCTGGCCCCTCCCCTCCTGCGGCTGTGTCTCCCCTTCCCACAGAGTACATCGGGAAAGCAGAAGTTCTTCAGGTGCATCCCAGCAAGAGCACAGAAGAGGAAGTGGCAAAGCCAAAGGCGGAGTGCTGAGGAGCGGGCGCCGCCTCACCCACCTGGCTCCAAAGCCGCCTCACCTACCTGTCTCCAGAGCCAGCTTTGCCCACCCTACTCGAGAGCCAGCCCTGCGCTCCAGCTTGTGCCTGCCTCAGCCGCCTCAACAGCAATACGTCCTTTCCTTTCACATAGAGCCCATTAAAGCACCACCCTCCCTTTAAGAGGACAGTTCCACTCTCCTCTCAGCAACAGGTCTGAGCTTGGGGCGCTTATTCCTGGAGGAGGGGTGAGCTGCAGGGAACCATCCCACTCCCTTGGAGAATGCCCAGGTGCCAGCGTGGGGCTTACCCGGTTCTTTCGCGTCCCAGGAACTAAAGGGCAGGTAGTGGCTAAGACGGCCTGAGAAAAAAGCTCTGCCTCTCTCTGAACCAAGACACACAAGGCGCTGGTAGATTGGAGCAGAGGTCAGGCATCCACAGGCCTCCTTAAAACCATCAGCGACACCAATTACTGCATTCCTCCCAGGCACTGAGGCAGGGGCTTCAGCAAGAGTTAATGAACACTGTGAACTGAGCCAAAAGAGTCAAGCAGCTTTGGGTCGAGATAAGTGACACAGGTTTACTCAAGGGTCTTAGGGTTCGCAAACTGGAACCACAACTAGACGATTCCCAGCGTGTTCCACAGGAGAACAAAAAGCTGGGGGTTCTTAACAGTAAAAAGCACATCCAGGTCTGCACTCTTTGCCCCTGGCTTGGTCCACGATGGTGGCTGTCTGAGGTCTGGGGGTCTAGACAATGGCACAGTTCCTTCTTGAGGTAATTCAAATGGTTAATTGAAGGTTTGATGCCCGGCCAGGCATTAACGCACAACGCACTGGTGCCCATCCAGGTATTGACGCAGGACTGGAAAGTTCAAAACTTTAAGTTCCCAGAGTCAGTCAGAACAAGAGTAATTGTTTCCTCACGCCTCGGTCTACTTAATTTTAATAATTTAGCAGCTTGATTGTAACAAGTCCATTTTATTTCTTCACTCTACTCCTCAAACACTATGTGAATTGTTCTACATGCTTTCTATAGAGTATTATATTTATTCTCCCCAAAGCTCCATGAGGTAGTGGGTTAATATCGTAACTCCCATTTTATAGATGAATAAACCGAAGCTCAGAAAGGTGAAATAAGTTGTCCACAGCCACATAGTAAGTGGCAGAGCCCAGATCCAAACCCAACGTGTCTGGTTGTAGAATCCCCACTAGACTCTACTGCCTTACAAACTGAAACCCTCACCAAAAGTTGTGGTTGCATATGGGTTAGCAAAATGGTGGTTGGCAAGGTCAAGGGGAAAGGGACATTATTATATAAATGTGACTCAGATGCACCCAGGTTGCCCCTGTCTTTTAAGATCTAGAGAAGATGGCCTTGACTCTCTAGGAAGTCCAGTGTCATCCTTGAGATTTCTGCCAATTCCATGAAGGGTGAAGGGGAGGGAGGCACTGAGGATTTACAATGTCAAGGTCACTGTGGCTGTCAGCTCCTACTTCTACTGAGTTCAGTCCATGGATTGTGGCTCCATTCCACAGCACTGCTCCACCTCACTCAATTCAGATGGATTAAGTCCCTGAGGGTTTTCCCAAATACTCCAGTCACAGAAAACTTTTTTTTTTTTTAAATAATCCTTACCTGAGGAGTGAGGTTATTTTTTCCATTGATTCTTCAGAGAGTGTGGAAGGGAAAGGGGGAGGGGGAAGTAGAGAAAGAAACATTGAAATGAGAGAGAGAGACATTGATTGGTTGCCTCCCACACACACTTAACTGGGAATCAAACCGGAAACTCTTTGGTGCACGCCCAATGCTCTAACCACTTGTCCACCCGGCCAGAGCAGGCTCATTGTGGGTTTTTTTTTTTTTTTAAAGTCCTGGTGTCCTTTTTAATATATATTTTTATTGATTTCAGAGAGAAAGGGAAAGGGAGAGAGAGAAACATCAAAGATGAGAATCATTGATCGGCTGCCTCCTGCACACCCTGCTATTGGTGATCAAGCCCACAACCTGGGCATATACCCTGACCGGGAATAGAACCATGACCTCCTGGTTCATGGGTCTATGCTCAACCACTGGGCGACACCATCTGGGCTCATTGTGGTTTTAATGTGCCTTTCCCAGATGGCATCTGGTATTTAACACCTTTTCATGTGCTTATTGGCCATTTGTGTATCTGCTTTGAATAAATGTCTACTCAAATATAATTTTGTTGTAAAAACAAAATCCCTGTTTTGTACGAGGACTCTCGATCCTGTCTGGACCTTAGTTCTACAGGGAATGCCCTGCAAGAAAAGCCCGCCACCCAAGCTGGTCTGAGGATCTCACATTTTGTTTGCTTCCATGTAGTCCAGCATTTGTTCATTCTATCCACCTAAGCCTTTGTTCACCATCAGAGATTATTCATATAAACTAATTTTTGCCTACACACTTTGTTCCTGCCAGCTGGGAGAGGGAGAGGTGCATACCAGCAATTTGCCCGTCTCCGTCTGAGATGATCTGTATCCCTAATGGGAGACAAATATCAAGTGTTACAGTGCCCATTCGGGCATTCCCAAGCACACAGTCCCCTTTCCACCCGATTGGGGGGTGGGAACCTGTGGGTTTTCTAGGCTTCTCTTTGCCCAACTGCTCTCATCGTGCTATTTTCAGGGAGCAAAGCACGTGCTCATTCCTGGAGCCTTCATTCGGCTCGGCCTCAGGTGTGGCGTCTCTGGGTGAATCTCCCAGAAGCATGTGGTTTTAGTTGAGACCCTGCCTAGGTTTCTACGTTAGTGACCCATTCCTGGCTACTTTCATTTCCTCTGGGCCACTGAATCATGCAAAAGGAAATAAAAATGACAACAATCTGGGCCACTGAATCATGCAAAAGGAAATAAAAATGACAACAACGATGCTGTAATAGTAATTGTGTGTTACTTTTGGCTGACTTGCTTGTGAAGGAGTAAAAACCTGAAGAGGATACAAGCACGAAAATCAGCTCAGACTAGAAAACCCACAGCGCCCTGCCATTCCCCAGGCAGGCTGCGGGCAGACCCAACGCCGCTGCGAGGTGACAGGATCTTAGTAACGGTGGCCTTCTTACTAAGGAGACCCCCCAGAGCCCTGTGGCTTTTAGTTTATTCCTGGCCATACCCAATTGCTAAACCACCCTGCCTCCTGACAGCACCTGCCCCCAGTTACTCCTCGTTTCCCCCAATCCTGCCTCAGAAAGTCACCAATCCAGAACTGATAGCTTCAGGGGGAATCCAAACCTCAGAAAAGACACCCTCCTCCCCCTGTCCAGCGTCACTCGGTGCTGCCTGGACGCCCCAAGTCAGTCGGTTTGATTTTGTTGAAACTCAGGCTTGTCCTCTGGGTCTCTGGCTGTTTAGCCTTTGGAGCTGGTATTACACTGATGCAGCCCAGCTCTGTTTTTTTCCATTTGGCTCAGCTTTTGTTTCCCATCAGAGATAATTAACCCAGGTAATGATTGCTTAGGTGTTTCCTTCCTGCCAGCAGGAAAGGGGAGGAAAAGTGCTATTAGCAGCTCTCCCAGGTCTGTCTACCTCAGTGGTTCTCAGAAATCAGTTGCCCAGAAATCAGGATTTTAAACAGATTCCCAGGTGATTCTAATGTGCAGCCAAGGTTGAGAACCACTGGTCTACCACCTGGTGGTTTTTTTAATCCTCATGGAGGCTATGTTTTTATTGATTTTAGAGGGAGAGGGGGAGGGGGAGAGAGAGGGCGAGGGGGAGGAGAAATACTGATGTGAGAGAGGAAACATCGACTAGTTGTCTCCCGTACAGGATCGACTGAGGATCAAACCCACAACCTAGGTATGTGCCTTTACTGGGAATTGAACCTGCAATCCTGCGAGGCATGGGACTAAAGCAACCAACCTTGCCATACCGTCCAGGGCTGTCCACTTCTTCTAAGATAGGGTGGGCACCCCAACATAGCTGCCCAGGCAGGAAGGCGGGCAATTGTCCAGTCCCAATCATGGACAGCACTTGGGTGAAGGGCTAATGAGCAGGGTGCACCTCCCAGGGGCTCTCCCCAAATCCCTGTCACAGAAGAGCCGTGGTGGCACTTGGCCTGCCCGCAGCGAGCTGTCTGTCCCGGGAAGTCCCTCCTCTCTCTGGGCATCCGGTCAGCCCTCAGCTCACTTAGGCCCCTTCTTACTTGGACAGTCTGTGATTCTAAGTTCAAACCATAGAATTAAGTGGGTATCCCGGTAATAAAAGTCACTAACATTTGTTCAAGGCCTTTGGTGTCCCTGGCACTATGCTTAGCATTTAATATATATGATCCCATTTCGTTCTCATAATCAGATTAAATATTACTATTCTCCCCCCTCCCCTTTTTAGGTGAAGAAACGAGGCAAAGGGAGCTTAAGTAACTTGTCATAGCTAGTAAGGGACAACCGAGCATGTAGTCAGCCCAGCATCCTGCTTTGCGAGGTATCATGGAGAGATCGAAAAGAAACTGAGGCACAGAGACAGACATGATCCCCTCAGTCGCACAGCCAGAACCCTCTTTGGCCCCTCTTTCTAAAGCTGCTAACAGCACTCCCTCCAAACCCGTCTAGCCAGGGCAAAGGGAAGGCTCTCCTCACAGGCTCCTAGCCCTTTAAAGTAACCTGACCCGGAGCTGCACACCCCAGAATTGAAGAGGGGCGGGGGGGAGGAGCTCCAAGCAAAGCTGCTGTGCTGGTGGCTCTGGGAAGGTCCAGACCAGCCCACCTTGGGCCAGCTCAGCAGACCAGAGGCAGCATGTGGCTCAAGGACAAAACCGTTGACAAGTTTCATTTGAGCTTTGGAGTATTTATTCTTTGTTAACACTTAAAACTCAGGAGTTGAGATTTCTCTGAAAACATCAGAAGCTATGGAAACTCTGGATCCTGTTCGGCCTGGCATAAGCTCTCATTCGCTATATTCCCCACTCTCATTTACAAGATTTGCCTGGAGTGGGGGCATCCTGCTCTGGACACACATGCCGTCCCAGCTCATTCATGTCCAC